TGATCGATACCATTTTGATGAGAATATTAAAGACAGTAATTTAAAAAGACTTATTTTAAAATATGGTTCTTGCCGACCAAACATTCAATTTCCTTATACTGAACATGAAAATGGCAAATCATATCGTTTTTCTAAACATTATTWTTTTATGAAATTAAAATCTGGCTTAAGTGTCCCAAGGAAATGGCTGTGTTATTCAGTAGGTTTAGATGTGGTGTATTGTGAGACATGTTGGCTATTTGCGAATCGTGATTATTCGTATTTTAATCCATCCTGGATTACTGGAGTTAATAACTGGCATAGTCTCTCAGCAAAGATAGATTTACATGAAAAATCAATACAACAWATTGATGCTATTAAAGTACRTTGTATTTGGGATAAAAATGAGACTATTGATAAATCAACTGAGCAACAATATTCAAATGAGGCAGCTTATTGGAGGAATGTTCTTCAAAGAATCATAAAAATTATTCTCTTTTTAACGTCTGGCAATACAGCATTAAGAGGACATGAACATAAAGGCAAATTTAAAGAACAAGAATATATAAGTGAAGGTATAATAAAATCATTAAATCCATTAATATTGATATGTATAAATAATATTTATAATTGTATGTGTTCTAGGTAATTTTATGCGTTCAGTGAAACTTTTAGCTGAATTTGATCCTGTCATGAATGAGTTATTGAATGATGAAAAAAAAAAATCAAATATCTTAGTTGGAAAGTACAGAATGAATTAATTAGTATACTTGCTACTAATATAAGAAATCTGATTTGCCAAAAAGTTCAAAATTCTCAATGCTTTTCTATTATAATGGACTCCACACAAGACATCACAAAAATCGATCAAGTCAGTATAATTTTACGTTATACAATACTCAACTTTGATKAACGAAGTTTAAGTATTGAAGAGTCATTTTTAGGGTTTTATTCCATTGATAAACATGGTGKTAAAGATTATGAAGATCTAATATATTTTATTCTTAAGGAACTTAATATTGATATAAGCAAATGCAGAGGTCAAGGGTATGACGGTGCATCAGTAATGAGTGGACTCTATTCAGGTGTTCAAAAACGAATCAAAGATCAAGTTCCCTTAGCACAATATGTACATTGTTGTGCACACAATTTAAACTTGGTTATTTCGGATGCTGCGAAAAGTTCAAGAAAAGTTGCATCTTTTTTTGAAACAGTGCAAAGCATATTTAATTTTTTTAGTTCAAGTGCTCCACGATGGTCAATTTTAGCTTTTGKTGAAAATGATACCAAACAAATAAAAGCTAAAGTTCTAAAAAAGTTATGTGTAACAARATGGGAAGCACGACATGAATCAATTTATTCATTAAAAGTCAGATTTAATGATGTACTCAAAGCTTTAACAAATATATCATTAACAAGCTCTAAAATTGATGAAAAAAATATGAGTTTATCTTTGAAAAAAAATTAGAATCAGTAGAATTTGTTTTCCTTCTTTGTTTATGGGAAGAAATCTTAAAACCCTTACACGGAGTGTCAAAGTCTCTTCAAAAAAAAGATACTAATTTACATAATGCATGTGAAAACTTGAAACAAGCTACATGTATAATTAAAGAATTGAGAAATAATTATCATACCTTATTGGAAACAGCTAAAGATATGTGCACAAAATGGGGGATTCCTTTGGAATTTTGTGTACAAAGATTAAAGTTTGGAAGAAGATATTTTGATGAAGTAGATGGCRACCGTCGATTAKATATTACACAAGATAATTTAAGAATCAAGGTTTTTCTTCCAGTCATTGATACAGTAATTTTTCAATTAGATAATCGATWCCAGGGTTTACAAAAGGTAGTTGAATGTTTTGATTTCTTGAATCCTTTTTCATTAGTTAATAGTACAGAAGATGATATTATTAAAGCTTCCTATGATTTCATCCATTTTTATAACGTTGATATTGGCTCAGATTTCACCAGACAACTTTTATGCATAAAAAATKTAATTAATTTGAAAATAACTAAAAATATTAAACAATTAGTCAWATTCATTATTGAAAATGATTTTTGTACCACATATAGTGAAGTATTAAGTGCTTGTATTATTTATCTCACGTTACCAGTCACGGTTGCATCAGCGGAACGTACATTTYCGAAGCTTAAATTAATCAAGAATTATTTAAGAAATTCTATGGGGCAAAATCGTTTGTCAAATATTGCTTTGTTAAACATCGAAAAAGAACAAGCTAATATCCTAGATATGGACAAAATCATAAATCAATTTGCTGAAACCAAAGCAAGAAAAGTTAATTTTCTTAGTTMAAATTGTAAAATAAAATTCTTACTCAATAATTTTTGTACAAGCTTTTGTATTATTAATTATTATTAAAATATAACCATACATCTTATACACATTATTTTGCAGAATGATGCTGATAATAAATAAAAATTGTATCAGCATTAAAAAAAAAAAAAATGTACTACAAATACAGTATAACCTGATTAATCCGGATTAATTGGGGTTTTAGGTTGTTCAAATTAATGAAAGTCTGAATGAAACAAAATTAACYAAAAATCGTAAATTATAAACTTAAAAAAAATTTAGTTTAATTTATGAATCTAATAATATTAAACCTARAAAATWGTACATACTTGTATTATAATCATTAAATACACATACTTGTAGTATTAAGGCACACTAATAACACTTTTCTAGAATAAACTGGTGTWATTTATGTATTATAAATGGCTGTWTGGTTTAATGAGGTTTTATTGTATTTAAGTAATTATGGGGCCCACAATTTACTTTGTCATCGGGGCCCAAAGATCCTAGTTGCGCCACTGCATATTACTATATTATTTTGGTCTATTACGCATGTTGAAACATGCACATAAATGAACTAAATCATGTCTACGGCGCCGGTGGGTTTATATTAAGCCGGGATCCCACGGCGCGTGGCGCGTGGAGCGGCGCGAGGCTTGGTATTGCGCGGTATTGTTCACGCGCCGTGTGATCGGTTTGCTCGGCGCGGCTCGTGTAATATCGGCGCGGCTCGCGTCTATCCAAAAATTGTCGGTTTTTGGTACCCGAGTCAAAGGAAATCATTCGTGCTCGTTGCTCGGCTCGTGAAACCAGTCCAACGCGTTCCCACGGACTAAAGAGGCTCGTGTATATTTTCACTATTTTCTTTTTACCTTTTTTCAAATATTTTATTTATTTATTTTTAAACAATATGGAGTGGTCAAATGAACTGATCTTAGAATTTCTTGATCTGTATGAACTAGAACCTTGTATCTGGAACCCAAAACACCCACAACACAAAATTCGCAATTCCATAAATGATTCGTGGGAAAATATTTCAAAAAATCTCAGTGTACCATATTCAATAAGTGACTTGAAAAAGAAGAAAGATTCGTTGATGGTCACATTCAGGAAACTCGTTAACAAAGTTAAAGCGAGTAAAAAAACGGGATGGGGATTAGATGACATCTACAAACCTGACTGGTTCGCATACGAAGCAATGGCCAAGTTTCTACATAGCGTGAACCAACCTAATGCCACCAAAAGTTCAGAGGTAAATGTATTCAGATTAAATAAATAATAATATATAGGTACACATATTTATTGAATATTATTCTTAGCATCAAATATTAATTAACAATAATTAAATATACCAGACTTWYTTACATAAATTATAATTATACTTTAAAAATTGTTTTGCCACGGAACAGCACCATTCGTCATGAAATATTCTGTGAATAATTCTCTAACTTCTTTCGCATCGCTCGGTGACCTACGGGGMATTCTACGAATTGGTAAGAACGATGCTTCGTTATTGTGATTTTGACGCCATGACTCTGGGATAATTTCACCATCTTTTTCCGAGTCAAATGTACCTTGTGGACAATAATTGGAAGACGAAGTTTTACTTTTTCTTAAAAAGTTGTKCAGCAATGCACACACCATTGTTATATTTGTCACTTTTTCGGGATTTAGTAACATTGGACGTCTGAATACTCTAAAAACTGATGACAATATACCAAAGGCATTCTCTACCACTCTTCGTGCCCTAGATAATCTATAATTGAATACTCTCTTTTCATTGCCTTTTTCATAAACACCAGAATACGGTTTCATCATATGCTTATTTAGAGMAAATGCGCTATCCACTACGAATACATATGGTAACATATTGGTCTTGGCAGGAAGAGGTTCATCTGCTGGAAGCATAAGCTGTTCATTTTCAAACTGTTTCCATAAATCTGTGTTTCGATACACACCACTGTCACTTATTCTTCCTTGACACCCAACATCAATGAAAATAAAATTATAATTAGCATCAACTAGTRCCATGAGAACTATACTAAATGTCTCTTTGTAATTATAGTATTCTGTTCCACTTTTATTTGGACATTGGATTACAATATGCTTCCCATCGATTGCACCCAAGCAATGAGGAAAATTCCATTTGTCGTTGAACTCTTCAGAAATTTTAAGCCACTGTTCGGAATTTTGTGGCAGCTGAAAAAAAAATKATATTATATTATAGCCTTATTAGGTATTGAAAACAACAAAATAACAACTATATTGTTCGATTACAAACAATTCTTATTTGTTTTTTGAACCTTGTACCCCATGTTTCTAGGTACAACACGATTCTGTCAGGTACTWATCGGGCGTACAGAATGATACACAATTGATACAGATTCTATACGACGTGATAAAAAAAAAAGATAGACAAGTGGCGGATACAATTGGTCAGTACAATTGTGTCCCTCAAAAAAGGTCATAGCCATACTATGAAATAATTGCGGTCTGGGCATATTCTATATACATACGTAAAATATACGTGCAGAATTATCTTACAAATTGTAATAATATATTTTTTAATGGTACACATTTTAGATTCTGAGCAATGCTATGTAATGGAGGTATTAATTTTACAATGATGTTTTTATTTTTATTTTTAAAAACAAAAATTATTAAGGAAAAACGGGAATTTTTACTCAAAATCGGGTTTCCAWAAAATTGATTTTGGTTTTTAGCGTAAATTTAATATGAAAAATCGTATACACTTGAAATGCACATAACATGTTTATTATATCATCGTCTATACTATATACAATTTAAAAAATATTTTTACTCGTTTCGAGTTGTTTACGAACATTTTAAAATTTTAATCTTTTTAGTATTTTTTTACTATAAATATCAATAAAATTTTATTTATTGGTTAAAAGTTCTTGAAAATTTAATAGAATGCTCCTAATATATTTTTTCAAAGGTAGATGAAAAATATTAAAAATCTGTAGACACAATTTTTTTTTCCAAGCATTTAAAGTTAAAATTTTGACAAAATACGTAAAAATGACGAAAATTTGCAAATTATTTATAGAGTTGGAAATTCATAAAAAWTTTTCTTTTTAAATCTAAGATTTTAAAATGTAACACAAKATTTAACATAAGTTTTTCTACTTTTATCAAAAATAAAATATCTAAAAGCAATTAAAAATAAATTTTTATGAGCGTTTTAAGTTCAWAATTTTACAACACTGGATATTCACTCGATTCCTCATGTAGCGTTTTTCTTATTTGGTTGTACTTCAAAAATGAATAATTTTAGAGGCATGAAAATGTCATTGAATGTTTATATTCTCATTTCCTATACCCCATAGAATTTTTAAAATATTTTGATTTGTTTTGAGCTGTTTACAGACACATTTTCAGTTTTCAATTTTTTTATTTTATTTTTTTATAATTGTTAATAAAATTTTATTTGGTGGGCCAAAAAGTCTGAAAATTTAATACAAGCTTTCTAATATGTTGTTACAATATCAATTGAAAATTTTTAAAAATACATATGCATCATTTTTTTTATAAGCATTTAAAGTTCGAATTTCGACAAAATTTGTGAAATCTCAAAAATTATCAATCATTGGAATTAAAAAATTATAAAATGTTCAGTTTTTATAACTAAGAGTTGAAAATTTAAAACGAAGATTCTCTTAAATAATTCATACTATAACCAAAAACTCTAAAAAATACATACCTAAACATATTTATTTTTTACAGACATTTTAAATAAAAATTTGGACGAAATTACATATTAAAATCARGAAAAAACGATTTTATTTATTTTGTTGTAATTTAAAAATATTTTTCGTGRATACATTAAACTTTTAGAGTATATTTTTATATTTTAATAAAATTAATTTAACCTACTGTAGTAGATGTTAATGCCTAATATTAAAATTAATTACTTTACTTAAAATAATATCATAAGCTATGYCCACCCAGTACCTAGCTATAGGCTGTAGACTGTAGTATTATTATAGGCTAATATAGTCACTTTCTACGTTCAGAATCATTTTTCGTATACAATGATATTATACCTATCATTGAATTAAAATTTAATACCATCCATTACAGTGACCCACTTATATAATAGACCTACATACACGATTATTCAAAATCAAAGTCCTGCAACACATGGAAATCAGGAGGGAGAACATTCTAATATATTTGACTTACAATAATAATATTATATAGACTTAWTATATATTTTAATATTATTAATTTACAGATCAATAAGTTTACTCAACATATTTATTTTTTACAAAACAGTTTTATTTGTTATCATTTTTTTTTTTTAAGAGTTATAACCTATTATGTTTTTTTTTTAAATATGACGTATGTTTTTGTTATTCACATTATTTTATCCAAATGTTGCATTTATATTTATAAGTATTGGTTATTAACGAATAATAATGTTATGAATTTATGATATATTTTTTAATTATTTATGATTATTTACATACCTTTATTTCATCTTTCAATTCTAGAATCAAAGCCTTGCACACATCATCTACACATCTCGAAACAGTTTGTGGTGAAAACTTAAAAAGATATGACAAACTTTTGAAACTGTCACCACTGGCTAAAAACCGAAGTGTCACAGCTAATCTTTCTTTGATTGGGATACATTCTCGCATGTTTGTGTCGTTCTTAGAAATGTATGGACCTATTTTATTTAAAATATGCTCGAAGTCTATGGAACTCATCCTACAAAAGTTTTCAAACTTTCGTGACGGGTCTACATTTAAATCGTGCAACATATTTGTTGCATTGTACCTAAAAAAAAATTTTTAAAGTATAATAAAAAATAAACATATGATTAATTGGATACAAAAATTTTTTAAATAATTGTATACCTTTTTCGACTTTTATAAAAAGTGTCCATCCAGTATCTTCTTTTTTTTGGAGTTCTTACTTCATCTTCATTCTCAGATGAGTAATTTTTTAAAAATTCACTACACACGATAATATAATATGCTGCTGCATTGGCAATTTGTTCTTGGTCGTCATCCATATTCCGTAAAAAATATCGATTTAAAACACAGTACTTGTGTCGACGAGAGACAGACTCGGAATGGATCGGCAAAGGATGCCGAGCTCTAGAGACGTGCCGAGCTACAGGCCGTGGGATCGTCGTGTTGGCGTGTAGGCTCGGCTCGTCTCTAGGTTTGGTATGTCTAGGTTTGGCGAGTTCCGCGCCGCGCCACGCGCCGTGGGATCCCGGCTTTATTGAGA